CTCTCTCTCTCTCTCTCTCTCTCTCTCTTTCTCTCTTTCTTTCCTTCCTTCCTTCTTTCCTTCCTTCCTTCCTTCCTTCCTTCCTTCCTTCCTTCCTTCCTTCCTTCCTTCCTTCCTTTCTTTCTTATTGGATATTTTATTTACAGTTCAGATGTTATCCCCTTTCCCCATTTCCCCCCTACCCAGAAACCCTCTATCTCATCCCCCCTCCTCCTGCTTCTATGAGGATGTGCCCCCACCCTCCCACACACTCCCACTTTTCTACCCTCGAATTCCCCCACACTGAGGCATCCAGCCTTCAAGGGACCAAAGACCTCCTCTCCCACGTATGCCCAACAAGGCCATCCTTCACTACATATACAGCTGGAGCCATGGGTCCCTCCCTATGTGCTCCGAGGCTGGTCACTTAGACTCTGGTAGCTCTGGTTGGTTGGTATTGTTGCTCTCAACCTTGGGGCCGTAAACCCCTTCAGTTCTTTCAGTCTTCTCTCTAACTTCTCCATTGGGAACCCCTTGATCAGTTCATTGGTCTTAACAGCTAAGGCAGAAACATGTAAAAGGAAAGACTTGAGCGAGAATAGATTAATTTCTCTAGTCTATTGATTTGGGTAAAATAAGCTAAAAAGGAAAAAACTAGACAAGATTTGTTTCAACTCTAGAGGAAACTAACCCAGATAGGTAAGAAAATATTTATTTCTAAGTTAATGTGGGTAAATTTAGACTTTTTAAGAAGGCCATAAATGGATATAAAGAACACTTTGTTAAAATTATTGCCATTAATAATGTCAACAAGATACTTGTCATCCTAAGAGTCACGTGTAAACAACCTGAAACTGGATGTCAACACTGGCCACACACAGCAAGCACTGACTGAAATGAAAGCAGTACAATGCATGTAGCACAGGGCCAGTCAAGACCAAAGACTTCTGCTACCAACACACTCATCAGAGAACCTCCCACTCCTAATGCCTAGACTTAGTAAGAGACAGCAGACTGAAGCCATTACCTGCCATGCCCGTACACAGGGTCTATCAAAGGTTCATTTGCATCTTCAATTGAATTCTTTATGTTTTCAATGCCCTAAAGAAACCAAAATTTTATTAACTTCATTTAATGCAAAGGATGACCAGTTTGGACTGTATATTAATAAAATACTGTTCAAATGACCTAGACTTGTATTTGAGATGGTAAGAAGTAGCTCCCCAAAGATTATTTTCCATTTTCTTTCGTGGGCTCTATGAAGGACACTAAGGGACTCAGAGGTAGTATGTCTAATGTTGATTAAAGGAACAGAGATAACAATTTTCAAGAGAGGAGAGGAACTCATTTAATACAAAAATTAGTATTTATTTAACTTCAGGATAAATTAAATTAAAATCTAATATACCTACAGAGAAAACTAAATTTAATTTAGGTCATTAAAAAATTATAATAAAGTCATAGAGTTTTGAGTTTAGATAGAGATATCCAGTTAAATACATGAGAGGTATAATAAGAAGAAAATGGAAAGTTTACATATGACTATACTTCTCCCTCAAATTGGTAATTCAAATATACAGTAACAAAATAAAGTATCAGTTATGAGAACAGGCAGTTTCTCATTTCTTAAACACTACCTCCTGATACCTTTTCAGTCTTAGAGAAGGGAGGTGGAGAAGCACAGGAAGAGCAGGGAAGTGACATCCACAGCAATGTTCACCTAAAGTGAATCACTGACTGTCCTATTAGAGGCCGAGCTACAGGTGGATTAGACAACCAGCAATCAAAGTGTTAAAAGGTTGTTTAAGGACCACAGAGAAAAACAGAGAGCTAGGTGATCCTGACTTGTCATCCTACAGAACAAAACAAAGCAGGCTATGACAGTGTCAAAATGCACGGTGGGAAAAAGGCAGTCAGCGGGCAGAAGGGGCACTTTAGAGAGCAAGGGTTCAAAGGTATCCCAGGGAATGTCTGACATAAAATGGCTGGGATACAGGTCAAAGGTCAGGAATATGGGGAGCATCAGAATTTGAGGCATAAACACCGTCCAGAATGAACAGTTCATGAGGGTGCAATACTTTAGCCCCTATCATTACTGCTACCCTAACCACCCGACCTCATTCAAATTGGCCTCATTTGGTCAATTTCTCTTATAATTTATTCTTGATTATAAATGTGTTCCCTTTTCTCCTCCATTCTATGGTCACCATCTTGTTTTATTTAGGCTTCTACTACAATAGAACTTTCTCAGTTTCCTTGACTCTAGGTTTCCACTTACCAAATCTTTTCATCACAAACTCTCACTCCAATTCAGGCATCTTCTATCCACACAATAAGGTCTTGTCATTTCCATATTAAACATTGTACTGTGTTCCAATTCTGATGATATAAAACCTTAAGTACCTTTTACACAATTCACAAGAGACCTCTTATATAAAAGGTGTGAATGTCACCTTTCACAGTTGTCCCTAGGTATACCCCACTGCAGTAGACTTGAAGTATTTATGAGCCCCAAAACTGGGCTATACCCCAGTACCTTTCTTCCTTAGACTTGCTTGTCCTATTGTTTGTAAAAACTCTTCTCATCTATAAAGACCCTACATACACAAAATGGTCCTTACTACCAAGAGCTTGCTCTTGAGTCCTGACAACAAACTAAGTCATACTTTCTATTTTTCCAAATGTCTTTTGCATGTAATAAATAAAATAAATCTAAAAACTAATGCCCCAAATCATGACCATAATAGAATTATTAATATGCCATTTTTATAATGAAAAATAGAAAACCTTTATAAAAAAAAAGATGTCACATACCTATCATACAGAGTCAATGCTCAAAAAACATAAGAAAAAAAAAGCTGATTTAAGACAAGGTATAATCAGGAGATATTCCAAGTGAGATTGTAAGGCCACAAGCAATTGAAATTGACATTTGCAAAGAAGACAGGACCAGAGGTGTGCATGTTGGAGTTAGGTACAGAGAGGTAAGCTGAGAGAAATAAATAGCTACCCACAGAAGAAAAATAAGAACAATTACATAGGACCCAGGAAAAGACTCTTCTGGAATTCTAAATTTCAGAAGGAGAAAAACATGTGAGAGAACACATAAAGACGAAAACAAAATGATGACAGAAAATGCTTTTTTTTTTTTAAATATGAGAAACTAGCATAACAATTAACAAATAAATCCAGAAAAAGTAGGCGAAAGAGAGTCTCTACAGGGGCTAAAAGGTCAAGTGTGAGAGACACTGCCAAGACCAAAGAAACCAAAGTCCACAAGACCTGACAGTGTTCTATGATTAGAACATTATCAGTCCCCTCTGCAGTCTGTAAGGGCAGAGGGGAGGAGAGTGTGGAAGTGGTTAAAGAATGAGTGGAGGCAGGAACAAAGTCCTTAGGAGCCACAAGAGTCTTACCCTGGATGTATAGACATCGGCAACACAGGTTCTAACAGCAAACAGGAAAAACAGCACTGAGCTAAGAAAGTAAATTGTCTTAAACAAACCTTTGTCAGTAATACAGAATAGAGAAAAAGCAACACTCCAAATTTGTTTCCCCACATTGAATATTGGTCCAAGACAGCATCTTTTAATTCTGATACAGTTCTGAATGATCTTTTTCTGGGGGGGGAAGAAGAATTAAGTATTAATATCCTGATTACTCCATTCATAAATGGAAAAATGTTTCAAATTCTTACTCATTACTATATACAAACAAGAGATTTTTATTAAGTATCTTCAAGTTCTAAAATCAAAAATTTAGCTACGGAAAACAAAAACTACCACTGACAGCTCCTACCATATATAACCTAGTCTCCCGAGACAGTCTGAGCACTGTCAGGAGCCTCCAGGTCTTTTGGGTACAGTACCTGCCCCAGTTCTTCAGTCTATGCAATTATTTAGACGACAGACTGGCCCTCTTCAAAGAGGTGTTCAACAACCAGAAAACTATTATTAAAGCATGAAAGCTCTTCAACAAACATCTGAGAGCTAAAACTACAGTATACATTTGGGGCTTCTTCTAAAAGAAATTAATGTTAAATTTCAAAGTGCCACCTATAATTCTGTCAACATAGCAGCCTCCCTTTAACTTTATAATAAAAACTTTGAATGTTTGGATAAAATATGGATGCTTTTAATGAAAATTACAGGAAGCATATTTTGGCAGAAAAATGATTCAAGTATTTAGCTCACTACAAATGGGTTTATATTCATTCAGAACAGAAAAACATGATAAAATGAGTTTTTTCACTGATAATGATAAAGACATATTTGATTTAGTGTTTTGAAAAATGTACTTAGTTACTTTAGGACTTAGATCATATACATGTATATATTATTTTTAAATTTGAAATCAAATAAGTGCTCAAACATGGTATTGTCAGCTCATGTCTCAGTTAAGAAGTGCTATGCCTATCTAAGGATCTTTCCACAGTATGAACATACTTAAAATGGCAGTTTGTCCACAAGGTAAGTATTTTAAATGTTTCAATGTTACTTACTGAATTAATGCATGAAATCGCTCAAAGCCAAGCTCTTCGACAGCCAAGGCAGCTATACATAAAAGACACTTTTCAGCACTACACATGGCAAATAAATGACACAAGATACACACAGCAGGCTGTAAATACTTTCAAGCAATCAAAACATTCCCTACTTCTTATTCCCTTATAATTCTCAGTTTATAATTCTGAACTTTATAACAACATGAATTTATAGTTCATCATCTTAGTTACTATGGTTATAACTAAAATGGATATAGTACTGAGAATGCAGAAGGGTTACTAAGTAACGAACATCTCTGTACAATTCAGCTAGGAGAGCATGCAAAATAGGAGGGACTACTGCCTGTTTGTCACACATTGTCATGTGTCCTGAATTTAAAATAATGCCCTAGTTTATGGATAACAGTAACCATCAGGGCTATTCATCTTCGATACAAACTCCTTAAGATTAGCGCTCTCTAATTAACTGCATATACTAGGCATCGCACTGAGACCACAGGTTCAAGGACAGATTTAAGTTTGTTTCCTCATTCATTCATGCAATCAGCAACTGTTAAGACTGTATTAGTAAACTACAAATTTTAAATATTTTAAAGAAACCAATGGAAGCATTTAAACAGATAGTATTTATTAAGGCTTTACTAAGTGCTGGCCACTCTTGTGAGCACAGGCCTCCCTCAATTAGAGGTCATAGCCTCATCCTCTTCACTTGTAAAAGAGGGAGCTGAGGTCTACAGAGGAATCCTAAGAGCACCAAGCTCTAACCAGGACTGAAATGTAGACTCAGTCTTGGCTTCCAGAAGATAATGTCTTTTAAAATAGCTAGTCAAAATGACTACTTTCTTACAATGAACAATTTCATGAAGCAAATCATAGTAAGTCACACATTTTCACTAGAGATTAAAAAATGGTTATGAAATCAGAATTAAAACTTTTATTTCCAATTTAAAATATCACAGTATATTAGCTTAATATAGCCTGATTTTAACTTTTCAATGTTTCAAATAACTTTCTAAAATCTTTAGAAGCTTAATTTATCTTTTGGTTTGGGTGGGAAACAAACTGAAATTGAACCCAAGAATTTACTACTGCAAACAAGTGTGCATTACTAACAAGCAAAAAATACACACACCACAAAAGCCAATGGAGGTAACGCTGTATACAATGTGATAACAATGAGAGAAGAGGATTTCACAATAAATTCTGAGGATGAAATAATTCTATCTGACCTCATCCAAGTTATACTGTTTTATAAACTGTTAATGCTGCACTGTAAAGTTACATAAAGAGAGCACTTTCAAGAGGCAAGCAAAAAAAATATGGCTTAGCAGTCAGAAATGGTGGGAAATAAAGACAAGAGGTGGACCACAGCTGGGAATAAAGAAAAACAAGTAAAACAGATTGTTATATGGAATAATATTTCAATGTAAGTTCAGTTCAACTGTCAGCATTAATAAAATGTTTTAAAAGTATATGAAGTTAAAAGCATATTTCAAGTATGGTTTTATGTCATGTTTATTTTTAAAATGAAGCATCAAGTGAACTAGAAAATCCTACAGCACGTCTTTTTGGAGGAGGATTCAATCAAACATGGCTATCTAAATTAGTGATGTAGGTAACAAACAGTGTGCTATGACACCCTTCCCTCTAGAGCATGCCAACGTGTTAGCATGGAAATGCAGCACCACCCCAGAGTAAGCAGATGGTATGCATGTGATGCTAAATACAATGCTAACGTAAAATGCCAAATGAGCTTGAACACTTTGAATGGTTTGAGTGTCCCTTTCTCAATATTTAGTATCTCAAATGGAATTATTAACATGCTTACATGCCACACAGTAAAATTTACCAAACATTTAAAAGTGAGTCTAAATGATGCTTTATTGTCATCCTTTTTAATAGTTTTCATTTGTCATTAAATGTCATTACCAATTCCAAAATAAATTCTTTTTGAAAGGCAATGTTTTAAAGGTCTGAAAAGAAACATTACACAACTGTTTAAATTTTTAAAATTATTTCTTGCAAATGTGTTATAAAATTTGCCAAGCACAAGCTGTTCTAATTGTAGAGAGGGAGAAAGTGTTTAGTGAAAACACGGGAGTTTCAGCTCAGGGGAGGCGACACTGTCTGTAGACAGTTCCATATGAGAGTGATACCCATCACACAATCACACAATCAATATTTACTTCCTAATGTCTGGTATCTATCATTTACAAAATCATTTTTATATAGAAGGTAGTGAGTTTGTTCCAGTATACATGGAATAAAGTACTTATTCAATCTACTTATTTGGGAACTAACAATTATCAAAACTTACCTACTAGCAAGATTACTCCTCGAAAGCAAACCAATGAACAGCTCCTCTCTAGTTTCCCTACCACCAGAAGTCGTCACTTCATTTTGGCAGCGTTTAGGCCACTTTTAAGAATGTTCAAGTGTGTAACATTTATGAACGAGAATAGGTATTTTTGTGTTATTTAAAATAAAGAAACTACATCAATATGTGGAAAACTTAGGACATAAGTAAAATGAAACTAAAATTACCTTAGTCCAAATATATAACAACGTTCAAAAGGTTCAAGAGCAAAATAACAGTGTTTAATTAAGAAAACATCTCCATCTTTTTTCTAGAAAGCAGCTAAGGATATTTAAGCATTTCATGGTATAGAAAGTGCCTCTCATCTAAAGAACACTGTGCACTTGAACCTATAGCATACAGATAGATGTTCTTTAGACTTTTAAAATCAAAGTTCTTATACTCAAAGGAAATTTCATCAAGCAGAAGCTAGCTAGAATTATTTTTAAAATGCTTAAGAGACAAATGTAACTCTTTTTTGCAAAAATGCAGTCTTACGCTAAATAAAATAATGGAAAAGGAAATGGAAAATATTTAAGATTACTAATTAAAAACTTAAGAAAAAGTATTATAAAAACTTAAAATATATTCTCTTCGCAATTTTCAACAGATATATTAAAACAAAAGAATAAGAAATTACTTCGTGAAATAAAAACGTATCTTACAAGAAGAATGCTCCACTTGGCAACTAGACTGTGCAGGACTCCCAGAAATCCTAGCAGCTTCCTCAGGTGTCCTTCCTCTCAACCATGAAACCAAGCAGTAAGATCCAGAGCTGTCACAAGCACTTTCTAAAATATCACACAAGGTATGACAAAGGAGCTCCTTCTGCTCGTCCTCTAAAAATAACCAAAGGATAAGTTACAATGGTTTGTCTGGAAAAGAAAATCGAGTCATGAGAAACAGTAAGAATGCCTCAGCTTAACAATGAAAATCAAGTGTTCTAAGAATAAGGAAAATCCATATAACCAGAAGACTGTAAATTACTCCTTAAAAGAACAATGTGACTAAAGATTAAAATATTATCACTTTAAATACTGGCATCAGTTAGAAGAAGACTGAAAAGTGCAGAATTTAACATCATGAGAAATAACAAGCTGGCCATCTCTGTCTTGAGCACCTCAGCACTCAGCTCCCTTTCCTGCAGAATCAAATGTGAGGAACAACAGGGCCCTGGGGACCTTTGCTCTCCTCATCTGCTGAATTCTGCCTGACCGACTTACAGGAACAAGAGCAAGGCAAGAAGACACCATCAGCACACAAACCACAATCCATTACTGTAACAGAAGCAACCTCTGCTCTGCTGCATACAGCAGAAGCCATACACCATCCCGCAGTACGCTGAGCACAGCTGTTTTGTTGAAAAACACAAACAAGGCCATTTCTCCAGAATCTGGGCAGTCCCTCCCTCTTTCAAGCGGTGTCCCCTCTCCAACGCACTAACACACTCAAACTTCCAAACGAAGCCTGTGTAATTGCATCTTATGCCACACACGTCTGTCTCTTACAGTCAGTAATGGTTCCACTCACGTCGTATCACAGCCTTCATGACACTATGATGATGGTTTTCAAATTTGTCAAAGAGACTGTAGTTTTAAGGAAGAAATGTTTTCAGCAATTAAGAGTCATGGTGATAACTGACTCTCAAAGTTTCTTTACTGAACTTGTATATTTCATATTCACACTGAATATATGGCCAGGACTCTTTTAACTCCTCAGTTGAGGATCTTGAGGAGATTCTGCAGTCATGGGTTAGAACAAAAGCTATTATGTTCTTATACAAAGCTGGCACTGTAATCTCCCGCCTTCTTCTAGAAGTGACTGTGAGGCTTACAAGGAATTCTGCAGCTGAGGGAAGATCTTTGCAAATTGCCAAGTGGAATGCAAATGTTTGTCATTGGGTGACATCCTGTCTCAGTATTATTCAAACTGCAGAAACTCTGATAGCTTCCTCTGCAACGTAATGACTTGCAGTGTTCCCATTTAATAATGCATTATAATAAAAGATAAAACAAGAATATCCAGTTCTTTATTATCAGAGCTCAGTAAGGCAAAAAAAGAAAACCGGAAAGATGGGGGAGGGAAGCCACCAACAACACAGAGGCATGGTGGTGCAAGAATGTAATCCTAGCAACAAGTAGTTAAAGTAGAAGGATCACGAGTCTGAGGATAGCCTGGTCTACACAGCAAGTTCCAGGCTAGCCTTGTTATACAGTGAGACCCTGTCAAACTAACAGCAGAGCATATGGGTATTCATTATGGGTATATTATCGTCTATAGGTTAAGAGAAATAGCCATTTAAGCAAGAGGCCTTATTACTTGTAATACTCTTCTGTCTCTTATTAAGAAAAATCTGAAAATGAACATTTTAAAACAAAGTCACTATTTATGAAATTTTTTGAAACATTTGAGAAATAATATTCTATCAATTGTTTCCTACTGAAGACAGACTTTTTAAAATGAATTACTAACAATAAATGCAATGTGGAGAAGGTTTAAAAGAGAAGACTGAGGAAAGACTTTAAAGCCAGCTAGCATACCTGAGCAATCCCGCCAGGACGACTTCTCGGAGGAAAACAGAAGCTTCTTCAAAAGAAATGCCTTTACACAATTAAACCGACAGTTAGAATGTGTGGTAATCACAGCTCATGCAGCTCTTTATTTATAGAAAACCTTAATACCATCTTTCTGATCTTTTGAGTAGTCTTATTCAAAGTCTTCCCCCACAGTCAAAAGTCAGGGTATACAGATAATTTACTTAGAATATACTACTATAAACTTTGCCCCAGATTCACAGATTACCCATCTCAGATACATTCTTTCTAGTAAGTAGAGAATCAATTCTCAGATAGATAACTGGATTTATAGAAACCTAGTAATCGGTTCACATAGTCAAGGTTTACAGGAATACCTCTACATTTCTCTTGGATTCCTGGGTTAAGAGACATCTAAATACAACAATGGTCCATTCTTTCCTGTAGCTCTGGTCTGTTATACAGAGAATATCACTACTGGCCATCTGCAGAAACTTAATGAAGCCCTGTCTTAAGCTAAAAGACAAAAGCACCATGGATGAAACTTGTTAGTAGAACACTTGCCTACCATGGTAAGATTATGTGCTAGATGTCCAGGGTCGGGGGGTGGAGGAGGTAGAAGGAGAGGAGAGGAGAGGAGGGGAGGGCA